GGAAGTAGCCAAGCTTAGAACGATAATTTGCTCAAGGTTGTACACAGTTAAAACTGGTGGAGCTGGGATTTCAATGGCAGCATACAGTCTCTGAAGAGAGTGAATTATAACGGCGGAACCTCAAGCACCTTCACACCTGTTTCAGAGGAAGCTATTTTTGGTCTGGCATGGTGCCTCCCCTCCAATCACACATCCTATTCTGCATACTTGTTAAGACACCGTGAATAGGAGATGAAGCAAAGCTAAGTTAAAGGTGAGTATGTGTGATATCTATGAGGAAGGGACTGAGGCAAAGCAGGTGGAATTAATTAGCATGTGCTTTCCGTGTGAAACCCAGTACCAGAAAACTCCTCCATGCCCTCATGCCCTCCCCCCCCTTTTTTTTTTTTTTTTGCCCAGGCTGGAGTGCAGTGGCGCGATCTCGGCTCACTGCAACCTCCGCCTCCCAGGTTCAAGCAATTCTCCTGCCTCAGCCTCCCGAGTAGCTGAAATTACAGGCACGTGCCACCACACCCAGCTAATTTTTGTATTTTTAGTAGAAACAGGATTTCCTCATGTTAGCCAGGCTGGTCTTGAACTCCTGGCCTCAAGTGATCTACCCACCTCAGCCTCCCAAAGTGCTGGGATCATAGGCGTGAGCCACCACACCTGGCTACCTCCATGGTCTCTTCATTCTCAGAGCAAACACATATTCCAGCTGTGCCAGACCAAAAAGGTGTACGAGGGAAGACAGATTCAGACATGGAAGAAGGATGTAAATTAGACAGGTCAACACCAAGGGAATTCTTCCCTTTACTGGGGGAAGCTCATGGGGAAGAAACGGTCATTTCAAGGCACAGATGGCAGTGAAGAAAGCTGGTCTGCCAATAAAGCCAGTCCCTTGAAGGGCTCCTCCTACCCACCCATCCATCCAGTTACTGACCACCTACTATGAGCCAGCAGGCCCTAGGAATATGGAGGTCGGATGTGCAGTCTTAGCTTTGGAGCAGCCTTATAAGTAGCATGTTAGTACGAAACTGCTCTTAGATTCTAGTCCTGGAAAGGAAATCATTTCTCCCTCTTCTCACCTTTCTGCCTAGGGCCATAAAATCAAAATCCTCACTGGCTTAGCACTCCTGAGGGAAAATCTTTGGCCTATCCTTCCATCTTTACCTGTCTCTTCCCATGGAGAGAGATGTATTTGGCAGAAGAGGGAAGATCTGATGTCCATCGGACAAGGCTTCTCTGCTGGGCAGTTAATCTACTCAGATGGCCACACGGTTCTTGGGCTCTCTGTCTCCCGCAGGAGTGGCCTTGGAGGGTGACCCTTGACAACCACCTGTCCCCATTCCACTTCCCAGGTCTAGATCATTCCAGAGAGGGGCATTCATGAACCTGTTTTGGCCACAAGTGCAAGTCATATTCTCCATCTCCATTTCACTTTCGAAGGTGAAATTTGGTTCCCTGTCCAAGTCCAGAGTCTATTTCCCAATAAGTTCTATTTCTCTAAGAGGAAAAGTATGTGAGTAATTTGTATCCTCAAGCACAAAGGTTTCCACTGGCCATCCCTTTGTCTAAAGCAAGGTGTCTAAAGCAAGGTGCCTGGGAATGGGAAGTGGACCTGCCGTTTCATCCTCAGTATGCCTGCTGCATCGGTCATAAAGCCTCTGCCCATAGCTCCCTGGCTTGCCCCGGAGTTTTTCTTTGGTATCCTCAGGCTCCTCTATCTGTGCTCTAACTACTGTACTTCCCACATCTGGTCCTCTTAGCACACCTTCCCACTCACATCCTTTCTCTACTTCCTTCACCCAGTGTCCCTGGGCCATCGGAAAAAGGTGTGAGACTCAATCACATTGAATTACAGTCTTAGAGCTGAAGGAGGCCCTGTGCTCATCTAAACCACATCCTCATTTTGACAGGAGGAAACTAAAGCTCAGAGAGGCTAAATGGCCTCCCCAAGGTCACACAGCTGCAGAGGATTGGAGCCACGGCTCGACTCCTGGTCCCAGGGTTTTAGACCAAAGCTTTCTCACTCTGCCTTTTTTGTTTCCCTTCCTGGGGTCCAATAGGTAATGATGCCTTCAGCAGAAGGAATGACTTTCTCATGATGGGCTTTCAGACACCAGCCCATAGTAGAGGGTCACTGTCGTGCACAGAGGACCCTCCACCCCCCATGGAGATCCAGGTTTAGGAAGTTCCCTGAATAACTCCATGGTAGCCTGTGTGGCAGCCCAGACATAGAAATAGCCCCTGAGACCTCTTGCATGTGGGTGTTCAATGTCCTCTGTTCCCCCAAACTCTGAACTGGACTGGAGCCTAGTGCAGTAAGAGAGCCTTCTCTCAGCCCTCTGGAATGGAACCTGCAATGCAGAGAGGGCCGCAGCCTGCCACGTAGGAGGCTGCTCCGGGGCACTGTAGATGAGCTACATGTCTCCCCTGGCCTCCTCTAAGGAGAACAGGGAAGGAGCCAGCAGGAAGACCTATTCCTTGTAGCAAAACTGTGCCGGGAACAAACCATGTGGCCATGTGGCCAGCAGCGCGGTGATTCCAGGTGGTAAGCAGCAGTCACGGCTGGTTGTCGCCCAGGTGACCCCAGTGCTTAGCATCATTTCTGGCGCAGAAAAGGTCATCAATAATACTTGTTGAAGTAAGAACTAAGTAAATAAATGAATGAACAAATGACAGCAAATTCACAGCAGAGCAAAATTCAGCAAATGGGGTAAGAATCCGTCTCTGGAAGCTTAGATGCTCATTATCAGGCTGTAATTTCACCTCCAAGTTATTCATTCCCACAGTAGACCCCAAGAAAAACACTCCAGAGGCTTCTGTGTATTTCCCTGCCTAAACCTTCCATCTCTGGGAGATGGAAGCCAGACCCCATTCTGTTCCGGGAATGATAGGCTGTTTGCAACTTCTGTTTATTCTCACACAGATGGTAGAAATGAGACACTAACAAATGATCCCAAAATATAACGAATTTTCTGCTACTGTGGAACCCCCTGAAGGGGCGGCCACCCTCTGGGAGCGGGGCCCCCTAAATTTTGCCATTCCTGTTCCCCTGTGAATCCATCCCAGTGACAAGCCTCACCCGGGAGACGAGGCACTAGTCTTTCCTTTGTAGAAGCAAAAGTCCCCTATCTTTCCGCCCCCTATAAAAGAGCCCCCTAACTGCTCAGATACAAACCACAAAGCCCTCAGCCATGCCATTCCTAGGAGACAACCACAGCAGCTGACATTCACCAGCCGGAAGTCATCCTAAACATCTCTGGTAGGGGGGCACAGAAGATGGAGGAGCTGAGCAGCTGCCTTTCATAATTGGATCCTCATTAACTGCAAAGAGCTGGCTGACAATCTAAGGCAGAAAGGCAACTTTAGTGATTTGAAAAATAAAACAATTTGATGTGATTTAAGGATCTATAAAAAGGGGGAGGGGGGCAGTGGAGGTGGCAGCGGCAAGGAACCAATAACATCCAGAAGGGACTTACCCACTTCAAGGAAGACTTAGGAAGGATGACAAGAGGTGAAATCATCTCCCACACTGGTTGTTCCATACGGAAACAATTTAGTAGGAAAAGAAGAACTACGCACTAAAAGCTTCAGGAGAAGAACCCAGAGTTTTTTCCCTTCAGGGCCCAGGAGGTCTGAAAGGCAGATAAACATCCTTGGTGTCTCCATGAGTAACTAGGGGGCATAAATAAGGAGCAAGCTCTATACATTGGCAGAACACCAACACTGGGAAATGGGGCTTGTGCCTCAAAATATAGGCCTGGAATCCAAGAAGACTTTGGCAATGCAGGACACTGACCAGGAATAAGTTGGAAGTCAGCCAGTGAAGGAAAGCTGGGTGAAGCACACATCCAAGATGGCGACTGACTAGCAAGGCATGAATCAGATAGATGAGGTTCAGAAGGTCACAGTAGACCCTAAGCTGTTGTTGATCCTAAGATTATGATGCAGCTCCCCAAAAGCCAGCTTGAAGAAAATGGGGACCAGATGGATCTAAGAGGAAAGAACTTGAAAAAAAAAAAAAAAGGTCTGATAGCTGTAGTCTCTACTCTTCCTCAGTGGCCTGTGGGCACACAGTTAGGGCACTGCCTTGTACAAGCAGAAGAAAAGCCACAAAACATTTCAAGTCTAGGAAATAGAGCCTCCTGGGAGATACTAATATGAAGTATCATTTCAGCCAAAAGAAAAGCTAAAGGTAACTTATTAAGATTTTTCCTCTGGTTTTCTTCTCTCATTTTTTTGTATGTAAATCTGTAAGATATTAGGTTAATGGCAAAAACCGTGATTACTTTTGCACAAACCTAACGCCTTAAATCTTTTTTTTTTTTTTTTGAGACAGAGTTTCATTCTTGTTGCCCAGGCTGGAGTGCAATGGCATGATCTCGGCTCACCACAACCTCCACCTCTCGGGTTCAAGTGATTCTCCTGCCTCAGCCTCAAGTAGCTGGGATTACAGGCTTGCACCACCATGCCTGGCTAATTTTTTAGTAGAGACGGGGTTTCTCCATGTTGGTCAGGCTGGTCTTGAACTCCCAACCTCAGGTGATCTGCCCGCCTCGGCCTCCCAAAGTGCTGGGATTACAGGCGTGAGCCACCATGCCCGGTCCTTAAATCTTTTTTAATGGAAGTGTCTATAAATAAATAACAGTCTTGTTTTATGAGTCAAATTTATAAGGGCCATTCTTGTTAGAAAGTGCCCAAAAATCAGCATTTTCATCCAGAATGGCAAAGACAGGTAAATAAAAAGAGGTTAAGAGAAACTTAGCATCTGCATCATGAACTTTCTGTCCATAGAAACAAAGGTTTCAAGGAGGCTATAAAACTCCTGGGCTTCTTTGAGAAGGTAAGCTCCCCTCCAGGCCAGCAGCTGGCTTGGGCCGCCATGAGGAATAAGAATGGGTATGCACGTGGGTGCAGATGGCCTAAGGCTCAAGGCCTGGTGCTAAGAGAACGTGGAGGTGAGAGTGATAAGTCAAGGAGGGAGGGAGTTTACAGTTGAGGGCAGGGCATGGGCAATGGCGATTGAGACTCAACAAGAGAAGTGGGAGATCTTGGGAGCTAAAGCCTGGGAAGATTCCCAGAAGAGAGCAGGATGCAGAGGGCAGGAGTCCACAGAGAAGGTTAGAAAAGTGCCAGGCCAGTGGTCATGGCGCATAGTACCTGCTACCATTAATCTTGGAGAATCAACCACAAAGCCTCTTCTTGGAGCTAAGGAGTCACCCAGGATGACCTCTCTCTTGGAATCTGAATGACGTAGGTCACGCAGCTTCCAAAAGTCAAGGAGATCCAGAAGGTGAGAAGCAAGATGATGCGGGGAGGGCTCCAAGACTGAGAGTGCAGGCGAGCAGCAAAAGGCTCTCTTCAGATGGCTGTCCCCAGCTCTGCAGGCCAAGAAGAAGGTGGGGTTAAGAGTGGCGGTTTGGGAGCCAGATCACCTGAGTGTGAATCCTAGATCTGTCCCTTACTGGCTGTGTGCCCTTGGGCAAGTTCCCTAACCTCTCTGTGCCTCTCTTTCCTCAGCTGTAAAGTAAGAATAGCAATGTTATTTGCCCTGTATAACTGTCAAGAGGATTAAATTAGTTAATACTTGGAAAGTACCTGGAACACTGCCTGCACATAGTAAGTGTGAAGTCAGTGTGGCCACCAGGGCCTTCCTTCCTGGAGGGGCACCAGTGCCAGATGACCCCTCAGGGTCCCTTCTGGACTAGTCTCTCTTTCCTGCAGCCATGAAGAGGATTTTCCCCAGAGGATTCTCTGCTCTCCCACTTTCCAGCTCTAAATCCCAAGGGGGCAGGACCATCTTGCATCCTGGCAGTTGACTGAAGAACAGAAACAAAGGGTGCCAGGTCAGGGCTGGGTAGAAGGTGCAGAAATGGGGCCCAGCACCTGCCCTTGGCCTCGGTTTCCTCTAAGGTCTCCTCCACCCTGCAGGCCAGAACACGGTTGCACAGACACTGGCAACAAGGTGCCATCAAGAACTAGTTTCCATTCCTGCCCCGAGGCAGACAGCCAGCATCTCCTGTGCCGTTTAATCTACTCCATCCCTGCACTGCTTCCTAAGAAGACAAGGAGGGGTAGCTGCGTTCAAGGGAAGCCACTGAACACTGGCAGCCGTGATCCCTGCACAGCCATCCCAGCCATAGGAGAACCTGGAACCAACCCCCAGGAAACTCCTGGTTTTCCCTGGAGACCAGAGAAATGCTTCCAGGGCCTTGCCTATAACACAGCTTTGTGCTCTGCCTAATGTAGGTGCTCAGTAAATACATATGAAGTTATCTCTGCCAGGAATCTTTAACCCAGGCAGCAAGAGGAAGCTGGGAGCGTACAGCTACTGGACGAGCTTTCTATTCCCCCTTCGGCTTCACGCCAGTTCTGGTCCTTGGTGGCTGGCAGGGGTTAACAGTACCACACCTAACACAGACACACACACAAGGTGTGATAACCGCCCTGGTCTCTTTTTTAAAAATGCCATTGGCCAGCTGAAGCTTTGCAAATGGAGCTCCGCAACCAAATCCCGTGGGCTGCAGCAAGAAAATAGACTAAAAAACAACAACAACTAAGAATGGTGGGCTCTGGCCAGGCCTCCCACAGCCAGCAATACGCAAAGAAACACAGGCTGAAAATTCCAAGACTGGGTCACTAAGGCATTTGTCTCTGCTGAGTTTCGAGAGGCCAAACCACACACACACACACAAGAACGCGTGTGCACACACATGCACACGCACACACACATACACAGGCACATGGAGCTTGGCAGTCCCTAAGTTCCAGAGTTGGTAATACAAGCCACGGAACCGACTGCCAAGACAAGCAACAGAACGAGCCAGGCCCGGTTTCATTGGCCACCATACACTGCATATGGCCCGGGATGCAGCCAAAACAGTGTTCTCACCCTCCTCAAAGGCATAGGAGACCCTCTGTTTTCAAACACACCTCCACAGAGCCTTAATTAAAGGAAAATGGAAAAATAATGTGCCTGCTGCCCTCCCCTGCCTATATAGGTATGCACACACACATACCCATACACACTCACTCCATTTTTCTCTTCCTCCCATTTCGGTTTCAAACATAATTCATTCGCATGGAAAAAAAGCAAACTGCATCCTGCAGCAGAAAGGCAGAAAAGAATGTTGCTTGCCCTCAACCCTGGCTCTGATTGCTCAAGTTGAGCTGGGGCTGAATGAATACAGAGCAGGCCGGCCTAGAGTCGGCATTGGCCCCTTTCTTTCCAGAGGGGAGATGGAAACAGACACTCTCCCCTGAGAGAGACAGCCCATTGCAACACCAGTAGCCCCACTACAAACGAGGCCCAGAGAGCCCATTCCTGCCAGGGATTCTGCAGGTTGGAAAAGCTGCCCACACATCCTGCAAACAGGTAGGGAGATGACAACAAACCCAGGCAGTCAGGAGGAGCATTCCCTGGTAATAGCTGCAAAAGTTAGGCAGTGGGTGAGTGGGGAGACCCTTATCCAAACCCTTTCTATGGGGCATTATCACCACCTTGCAACACATCTCCTTGAAGGTGACTGCAGCCAACCTAGGAGAAAAGCCAGAGGTCTACACACCCATGACTCCCTGCAGCCCTTCAAATCGCACAGCACCCAGCTCTTCAGGAAGATTCTGGAGCTGCCTGCAGCTCTGAACCAAAGCCAAAGTAGAAGGGAACAGAAGAGTCTTTGAGAAATCCATCCTCCCTGCTCTAAACAAGGCAAAACCTTAACCACCCAGAGGTATGAGAATAGATTTTGCTTCTCTGCCTGGATCCTCACGTTTATATAAAATCAGAGCCATGCTCACACCTGATACCTGGTTAAACTCTCCCCTAGAAACCTGCAAAGGAAGATAAGCCATCCATCCAAGCTGCAGCCAGATTTGCTGGAAAGGTAAAAGCAATGGGAAGTGTTTTTTAAAAACCCTCAGGGAAGGAAGGTTGGGGGGAAGGGAGATATGTGAACGCAGTTCCTATCAAGGGCTTAAAGGACGTTTGGGTACAAATGTACCCAAACATGGTTCAAAGCTTCCCAATTCCTGATGCTCCTCAAATTAAGACCCTAGGGAGAGACCACCAAGATTTAAGCCTGGGTACACACGCCTAAGCAGGCTGCAAGCCCTTTCTGAGATACAGACCTGAGCACATTTGCCCTAAGCACACGTGGTCGGGCCATAGCCCCACGCCCTGGATTCCAATAGGGAGGGCAGCACCCTAGGCAAGGGCCAGGACATCTTGCAACTGGAGATGACCCAAGGGGGTCGGTTGATTTCTCCTTCCACCAGCCTTTCCATCCTTGCAAAAGAGCCAGGACCTCCCCATCTTCCCCAGCCTCCTCATCTTCCCTGCTCCTCCCACTGACCCAGGCAAAGCCTGGCTCTGCCATCCCAAGGTCCAGGGGTCCAGGTGGAAGGCCCACTCCACCCCCACACTCTCCCACCCCCAACTGCACCCCTACCCCTCGACAACCTCCTTTGAGGGGAGGAGCAGAGGAGAGCCTTCTAAGCTGGGCTGGGCAAGGGAGAGGCTGGTTACCTACAGGAGCCTGCTTGCCTCCTTATATAACCTGGCGTGGGAGACAGGAGAGCCCAAAGGGGACCCCGGCCACCCCTAGATCCTTTCCCAGCCCAGAGCTCCAAAGCAATGGCCATGAGAGAAGGTGCCTTCATTGGATGGAAATCCAGAGCCCTTCTCAATATTCTCCTCCAGGTCCGGGTCCTCCGGGAGTCGCGCTTCCTCCCTGCCAGCAGGTCCTTGTCATCCCTCCACAGTCGAACCCCCACCCCAACCCCGCACCTCCCTGGCCCTTCACCCTCCATCTCCACCCGCACAGCCCGCGGGCAGTTTTCTCCCCACTCACCCCGCCTTCCCCGCTGCCCGAGGAGAGCACCTCCCTGCAAACGGACAGGGGAGGAGAGCGCGGGAGGGAGAAGGAGGGAGCGCCCCGGCTGCCCAGGGAGCGGACGGAGCCTCCCGTCCCGGGGCGGGAACCAAAAGGAAGCCTGGGGCTGCCGGGCGCCTCGCGGGAGGGGCCCGGCTGCAGCTCCCGGCGCAGGGAAAGCTCGGGGTCCCTGGGCTGCGGGAGCCTCCCCGCGGGGCTGGGCTGTGGCTCCTCGCGCTCCGCCCGCGCGGGGGCGGCCGTCCCAGGTGCCCGCGCCGCGCCCCGCCCCGCCCCGCCCCGCCCGGCCCGGCCCGGCCCGGCCCGGCCCGGCCCAGCGCCCCCCAGCGCGCGCCCTCGCACCCACCGTGCAGAAGCTGCGGGCGGAGGCGGCGCCCCCGGGGCCGGGGCCCGGCTGCAGGCGCCGTGCCCGCTCCGCGCCGCTGCCGCCCGGCCGCGGAGCTCCGCCCGGTGCCCAGGCCTGTCCCGGCCCGGGAGCCGCCGCGGCGCCAGCCCCGCCGCCGCTGCAGCGTCCGCTGCCGCCAGCGCCCCCCGTCGCGGCCGCCGAGCGTCCCTCCCGCAGGCTGTGGCGGGCGGCGGGACGGGTTGCATCAGCCCCGGCTATATAGCGGCCCCTGGGCGGCGGGGAGGGGTCGGGAATGCGGAACCGGCCGAGCTGCCAGCTCCAGACGTCAGAGGGGGACGGAGAGGAAGGGAAGGAGGGGACCGAGGAGGAGGGGGTGTGGAGCCGGCGCTTCACACCCACTGACCTTAACCTCCCCCGCCGCCTTGGGCGCCCTTCTCCCGCTGCCGCTTGCGCTCCTCTCCCCGCGGGGGCGGCCCGGGTTCCATCCAGTCCCCCGGCTCCGCCACCCCATGGTGCAGGAGCGCGCGAGAAAGCAGGACGCGGCGAGCGGTTATGTAAGCGCACCCCCCGCGCACCGCCGCTCGGCTTGTGCCCGCCAGGCAGCCGCAGCGCTGGGAGAGAGAAGCGAGAGGCCGGGGCCGGGGGACAAGTCAAAAGCCCCTTCACGCACAGCCTGTGTTAACCATGTACCTCAATCCCGGCGCTTCCCCCCAAACTGAGAGAGACAGGGACAATTTCAGCACAGTTTCATCCTTGGACACTTCAGGACTGAGCGGGTGAGGAGGCGATCTCGCCAGCCTGCTTTATTTTTCGGTGGAGAAGGATGGGCTGAGATGAAGGCATCTGGGGACTCCTACCCCTACCCACCGGCCCCCGCCAGCGCCCTTAGGCCCCAAGGCGGCTCGCTGCACCAGCCTGCCCTCCGCTAGGGCTGCAGCTTGAGACCGCGGCTTGCTTTGCTGCTGGCACAGTTTGACCCTTGGGCTTGTGCCCTGCTCCAGCGGGCTTCTCCTTTCCGCTCCGGACACAGCAGTGAGCAGAGCCAGCCCTCAGCAGACCCCAAGTGGCCTTCTTCCCCGTTACAGCTTCAATAGCCAACCCCACTCCCACCTTCCATCCTCCTAGAGAGGAAATGGTGAAGGGGACTCCAGAGGGAAGGTGACATCCATGGTGCCCTGCAGTCTACAAAGGCAGAGACACAGAGCCCTCAGGTAGAACGGGGTTCCCTAGGTGGCATCTCCTACCTCCAATGCTCCTGGGTACCCATCGAGCCCCCTACCTTCTGCCTAAGCCAGATAGGAGTGATGAGTTATATACTCAGCGACTTTCGGCCTCCTTCTGAGAGTGATGTCAGGTCATCACCCATAGAAGAAAGGAAGTGAAAGAAAAAAGTTCATGCCTTCTTGGAGTGCAGATGCTCAGAGTGAAAGAAACAACAAGACTTGAGACAGATGCGTGCAATTGATCAAACCCGAACATGCACGGCTCTCCCATGTGAGTGAGTGCGTGAGACTTTATTCTCCTTATTTCCCCAGTGCAGTGAAATCTTGCTGGATAAAAGAATTGGGCTAATAGAAGGAGAGACAGACCAAGTCCCAATGACATTGCCTGACCATTTTCACCTTCGCCATTAGCAATCTCCCTCACAGCATTGGTGTGGGCAGGTAAGCGGAAAGCAAGACCCTGAAAGACTGTACATTGGAAAATGAGCAGTAATTTGACACTCTTGTGGAAGAGCATGACTCTCCGCCCTAGAAAGGCCAATGACACCTTTACTACAGCGTAAAGATCAAAGCCAGGGACTGTGAAACTGCCTCATGATGTTTCTCCCATGAGACCTGTGTCTGGATGTTTATATGGAACAAAACATAGAACAGAGGCAATACTACTTGATGTGTCTTCGGCTGGGGCTCTGGATAAAATAAACTGATCTGTATGCAGGGACCAATAATTAGGGTGTGTGGTTAGAGCTCGTCCTCTCTAGGGCCTGTTTTGGACTGTGGCTGGGCCACCAGCAGTCCTACTGGGCCTTTGCTTCCCCCACAAATTAAATATGTTACAGGGGTGGCACCAAGGGGTGACTTGGGAGGTCTTTAGTCCCCTCTACCTACCTATAATCTCCATTAGGTCTTCTCTGTTATTTGATATGGAGTTTTTCCAATTTCATATAGGATGCTATAAGAACACAGCTTCAAGGCCTCCCTTCTGGTCACATACTCCCTACTAGGCCCCTCTACATAGTCACTGCCTCTGGGAGTGGCTAGAGGGAGAGGCATAAACTGGGTCCTTTATGCAGACATTGGATGCTGGATGGAGCTGATCTACCGCTGGCTCTTAGGGACAGACAAGTGACTCAGCCTAAGGCAGTTTGAATTTAAATTTCCTATCAGAACTAGAAAAGTCCTGATTAACACACCCAGCCCTAGCCAATGGGCTGATTGAGAGATCCTCACGTATCCCAAGTAAATCTCATAAGACTGGGAATTTTGTGGATCTGCTGGAAAGAGAAGCTTCCAGAAGCCACCACATGAAAGTGATCTACTGAGAGTGAAGCTAATGGGAGGAAGAGTAGAGCCAAGCCACGGAGGGAAAGACAGATCAAGTTCCAATGACATTGCCTGAGTTCCCGAATTCAGTCATGCCTGACATTATCCTGACCTCTGCAGGTTTTAGCTATAGGAATCAGTAAATTATGTCTTACCCAAGGCAGTTTGAATTTGGGTTTCCTATTACTTGCAATTAGAAAAGTCCTAATTAATACAGTGGGTTTGCATCTCTGACTTATGTGGACTATTTCATTTTAAAGTTTAATGGACATTGATGAATCCCAAGCTCTTTGCAAAGAGGGGAAAACTGAAATGGTGAGGTAAAATAATGAATTCCCCAGACCTGCTCCTCCAAAATCAAAGCAGAAAGTGATAGTTCTGAGTAATCAGCCAGTCAACTAGTCTTTATCCTAGTATTTACTGAAAATCTGTGCACCCTCAAGGTACACAAACTTTAAGACATGATTTCTCACCTGTTCCTACGTCCCATCTAATTAGGAAAAATGATTTACAAGCTAATGAATAGCAAGACCAAGAGTAGCTAAGCGCTAATGATGCAACACAGGCTATAAGCACTGTTGGAGTTCAGACAGGATTGCTGCTCCAGTCTCTACTCAAATTCTATAGACCAAAATTGCAAACCCGTAGCTGGCAGGGCTGAAAATCTGGCTTTTCTGGCTTCAACCTTAAATTTGTTTTTTTAAAAGACAGGCATGGTGGTGCTCACCTGTAGTACCAGCTACTCAGGAGACTGAAGCAGAAGGATCATTTGAGCCCAGGAGTTCAAGTCTAGCCTAGGCAACATAGTAAGACCCCCATCTCAAAAAAATAATTGTAGAAAAAAAAAGTTTTAATATAGCAAAGATTTCATATAAAAAATCTAGATTTCAAACTTCTCTTTTAAAAATATCAAAGTCAGGCAACATTGGGCATATGTAATAGTCAGGATAAGCTAGGTTTTGCTGCAGTAACAAATATCCCCCCAAACTCATTGGCTTAACAAAAGAAAGGCTACTTCCCACTCACACAAGACAACTGTGGATTGAAGTGATTCTCCAGGGATGCCTCAGTATTGATACCTTCATATCAACAAGTGCATTCATGGCCACCAGGGCAGAGAAAAAGAAGTAGAGAGGGCCGAGCACTAGCAGTGAAATATTTCCTCCTGGAGTGACATACATCACTTTAGCTTATGTTTCATTGGCCAAAGCAAGTCACATGGCCATTCTTAATTTCAAAGATGCAAGGAAGCTCAGTCCTCCCATGGACCACGGAGGAGAAAGGAACCAGAAAATAGTAAACAATTAATATCTTCCATGGCATGCACTTCCTTATGGCAACAATAGGCTGGAGTCCACTGGAAGCTGCCCCTTGAAATGGGACTTAAACACCCAGTTTGACACAGTCTCCACCCGACCTGCCTAGCCCTTGGGAGCGTTTGATTTTGCAAGCCTGGTATAGATAAAGTCAATCTCAATATCAGTTTTTCAGATGTCCCTGGTGATCCATGGAGTTATCACACAGTTTTCAAAAGCAAATGTTTTGCTCTGCTTGAAACAAAAACTTATGCCGTGCAGAATTCTTACAATGAAAAGCAGGATGGTATCATGAAATCAAACGTGAAGTTGAAACTAGCTGTTATTGTAGTCTGCAAATTACATAAACCTGTTTATGGTGATTTCTTCCTGTTGCTCTTCCCTCAATCAATCAAACACCCACCAGGAGAAACAAGCCTCCCAAGCTCTTCCCTGGAGTGGTAGTGACTTGGGAAGGGGGGCGGGGGGATGTCTAATTTAACATTTTGAAACATTTACATATATATGAATATACATACATATAGATGTGTCTATATAAATATTCAAGGCTAAAATATTTGAGAAGAAAACTTGTGAGCTAGGAATGGGAAGGCTTCTCTTCCAATGACCACCAATGAGAATGTTATAAAATATGTCTAAAGATTTAAGAATAAATCAGCATCCATACAAATGCAACCATCTCTTGGAAAAGCCTAGTGTCTTCTCTTTAATCTTCTAACACAATACAGTTTTGGGAGGATGAAGAAATGGTAACTTCTCTGGTTAAAATGCTGGAGCAGGCTGAGTGTAGTGGCTCATACTTGTATCTAGCACTTTAGCTGGCCAAGGTAGGAAGCCACCCTAGGAAACATAGCAACACCCTGTCTCTACAAAAAAAAAAAATTTAAAAAACAACAACAACGGGGCATGGTGACATGTGCCTATAGTCCAGTTATTTGGGAAGCTGAGGCAGGAGGATGGCTTAAGCCCAGGAGTCTGAAGGTCTGAAGTTACAGTGAGCTGTGACCACTCCACAGCACTCCAACCTAGGTGACAGTGAGACCACCCTGTCTCCAAAAAACAAACAAAAAAAGGCCAGGTATGGTGGCTTATACCTGTAACCCTAGCACTTTGGGAGGCTGAGGCAGGAGGATTGTTTGAGCTCAGGAGTTCAAAAGCAACCCAGGCAATACAGTGAGACCCCCATCTCTATTTAAAAAAAAAAAAAAAAAAGCTGGGGCAGGTGGATTAGGGAGAGGAGGAGTATAGTGGATGTATGTTGTTCTCAGCATTCCTTTCTTTGGAGAACCACTTCTCTCCCTCTTCCCTGTGGCCCTGGAGGGGCCTCATTGCCCCCATCCAGATGTGAGGGGTGCGACCTGAATTGGCCAATTAGAGCAGTCCACATCCAAAGCCATAGTGATTGGTTCAGGGATGAGCACATGACTCAAACAGGGCCAATTAGAGTGTTTCTTGAGATTTGACATCTAAATACCAAAGAAGAGAGGGGTTCCTTTCCTTTAAAACACCAGTGTATGAAGGTAGTTTGTGGCTGTGGATGGCCATGTTTTCTGTCATGTGACAAAAGGCTGCCTGAGAAAGAAACCAACACAGAGAGTAAAAGAGAACCTGGCCGGGTGCGGTGGCTCACGCCTATATTACCAGCACTCTGGGAGGCCGAGGCGGGTGGGTCTGGGGGTCAGGAGATGGAGACCATCCTGGCTAAGACAGTGAAACCCCATCTCTACTTAAAAATACAAAAAATTAGCTGGGCGTAGTGGTGGGCACCTGTAGTCCCAGCTACTCGGGAGGCTGAGGCAGGAGAATGGCGTGAACCTGGGAGGCGGAGCTTGCAATGAGCCGAGATCGTGCCACTGCACTACAGCACTCCAGCCTGGACAACAGAGCAAGAATCTGTCTCAAAAAAAAAAAAAAAAAAAAAAAAAAAAAAGAGCCAAGACATGGAAAAAGAGAAATAGGCATGAGATTATCATTTGAGTTCCTGAATCTCTAATACGCCATGAAAACATGCTGAATTGGTCTTTGAACTTCACAGTACTGGAGTTAATATAGCCCCTTTCTCTTTCTTGCTATGGTAGTTTGACTCAAGTTTTCTGACAATGCTCAATAAAAGAATGCTGAAGAATACATGAATAAAATGACCCAAAGTCAAGCTTATAAAGGAGTGCTGAACTGACACCGTGGAATTTTATCGGTTTGCTATTCTTGCCTCATCTATCACATGCCACCCAACCTCTGCGAGACTAAATACAGAACTGTACTGAATGCCTTCTCACCGCTCAGAATTCAGTTAGTCATTTAAATGACTTAGTCAGACAATCTTGAAGTGTGCTATGAGCCATGCACCACGTGCCACCCTATTTGAGGAGGCCAAGCAGAAACGAAGAGATCATCCCTGCCCATAAATGATGACAGACTAGAGGCCCAAGAAGATGAATAATATTCATGAAAAAATGGGGAAATGAGGACATGAGTGATTTAGGGAAAACATGATGCATATGCATTCTGCTTCCAGAATATTATGTTTTAAAATATGTCCTGAAAACACATGGAGAGACGATAAAAGACCCAGGTTGAGGATGTCATTGTGCAGGTCATCCATCCATAGGGGGTTCCTGAAGTTGACACCAGGATCGTAAATCCTGATCAAACTTTTTTAGATGAAAGATGATGTTTTAGTCATATTAAATTTTAAATCATAGGTGATTAACATAGAAGTCTTGAGTTAATAAATGAATGAATGAGTGAGGCCAGTGGGTCATGCCTGTAACCCCAGCACTTTGAGAGGCCACGGTGGGAGAATCACTTGAGGCCAGGAAATCGAGGCATGCTTGGGCAAGATAGCGAGATTCCATTTCTACAAAAATAAAAATAAAATAGCCCATCGTGGTTGGGAGCGCTGGCTCACGCCTGTAATTCCAGCACTTTGGGAGGCCTAGGCAAGTGGATCACCTGAAGTCAGGAGTTTGAGACTAGGTTGGCCAACATGGTGAAACCCTGGCTCTACCAAAAAATACAAAAATTAGCTGGGCATGATGCCGCACACCTGTAGTCCCAGCTTCTGGGGAGGCTGAGGTGGGTGAATCACTTGAACCCAGGAGGCAGAGGTTACAGTGAACCAAGATTGTATCACTGCACTACAGACTGGATGACAGAGTGAGACCCTGTCTCAAAAAAAAAAAAGCCAGGTGTGGTGGCACACACCTGTAGTTGCAGCAACTTGGGAAGCTGAGACAGGAAGATCATCTGAGCCCAGGAGTTTGAGGCTGCAGTGAGCTATGATTGCACCACTGCACTCCAGCCTGGGCTACAAAGCAAGACCTTGTCCTTTAAGTAAATAAATAAATAAACAAACAAACAAACAGAAGCTAGTCTAGAACTCAGTCTTAGGAGGTAAAGGAGTTAGGAGACCTAGGTGTCCCAGAAGATCAAGAAAGAAAGGCACAATCGCAAAATCCGCAAGTCTCCTCAAATCCCCTGTCCTTTAACACAGGCTTCCCAACTATCATGAAAGTCAAACCAGGTTGTCAGAGATAAGATCTGAGATGAGTTTATTGTATTTGCTCAGATCTGAAAGAGTACATTATAGCTATAAAAATGTACGGTCTAAAGAGGCCTCAAGTTATTTTTAAGAGAGGGTTTAATCTGAAAATATAGGCATTAGATATTATACTACAAAGATATTTTCACTTAGCACTCACACAGCACTGCTTCTAGGAAAACCAAAGACCCTTCTCCACTTTTTTCCTTCTTCTTCATCCCCACCTCCCACTCCCAGAAGGTGTATAGTTGGTTAGATTCTTCCATAAAATATTTGGGGCTGGGTGTGGTGGCTCATACCTGTAATCCCAGAACTTTTGGAGGCCGGGGTGGGTGGATCACCTGAGGTCAGGAATTTGAGACCTGCCTGACCAACATGCTGAAACCCCATCTCTACTAAAAATACCAAAAAGATTAGCCGGACATGGTGGTGGGCACCTGTAATCCCAGGTACTCGGGAGGCTGAGGCGGGAGAATAGCTTGAATCCAGGAGGCAAAGGTTGCAGTGGGACAAGATCGCGCCATTGCACTCCAGCCTGGGCATTAAGATCAAAACTCCATCTCAAAAAAAAAAAAAAAAGTAAAAAAGTTTGGGCCTCAGTTTCCTCAACAGTTAAATGAGGACAATAATGGTGCCTACATTAGAGGGTCTATATGAAGATTAAATATGATCTTATGAAGCACCATATCAGTATCTGCCACAAGCGCAATACATTGGGCTGTGTTCATCACCACCACCACCATCACCATCATAACCATCAATATTATGGTTCAGTCAACTCAAGCCCCCTACTATGACACCTTCACAGATGGGTCATACCCACAGTGATTTCTCCCTCTTCTGACCTTAACTAGCATTTCCCTTCTAACATCTAATCATATGCCATTTAAAATTTTTCTCCTTATTTCACATATGCGTTATCATTCCAACATGCTTGAAGTTATCGGTAGGGACAGTATCTTAAAAAATTTTAAACTTCTATAGCACCTACCATGTGCTGAGCTTATGTTTGACACTCGATATGCCAAATATGTGATTGCATTTATTTAAATAAAAATGTAAGGAAATAATTGAAATATTGAATATTTCAATGCTGATAATATTGAAAGCGGTCTGGGCTCTTGGCACTTAAAGAATACTTGTTGAACAGATGCTTGTTGAGCAGAGATGTAATTAACAGTTACACCTTATGCAGCACAAACTTGTAGAATATTAAAGCGAGGAAGAAGCCGTATTTTACAGGTGAGGAAATTGAGGTCCCCACTGATGACACAGATCTCACTGAACAAAAGTTATGGTGGAAATAATTCTCAGGACTCTTTTTCTGCTATGCATTTTAAAACAACCACCAATAAAAAGTTATTTCAGCAAATGTTTATTGAAGGGGAAAAAAAGTCCCCTTAGGTTTTCTGCGGGAGGTAGCGTTTCCTCTTACACTCAACAATTTGGTGGTGTGGTAGAGAGTGGTGTGGGGAGGAGCCAAGGGGGCCCCTATGACTGGGCTGTTGTGTAGGCCTAGACGGGGGAGGGGTGGGATTTTCACTTCTTGGAAGGCTCTTCCAGCTCCAGGCAATCCGGGCCAGGTTTTGACACCTGCATGTCTCAGCACACTGCCCTAAGTCAGCCAAAGTGTACCTTCTAGAGAGCAGCTCAGCCTGCTTAGTACCTGGGCTTCTGGAAACTCACCCCTAGAGACCAGAATAGGTCCCCATAGACCAGAAAAGGCCCCCACACTTGGAACTGGAGGAATCGCCTCTCCTTGAAAAACGAGGATACGATTTTGCAATCAGAATGCACTCCTGTAAGAGGAGACACCTCTGCGCTGGCCTCAGGGGTGTTTGGGGGTGGGAGGTGGGCGCCGAGGGAGGTCAGAAGGCCTCTGGAGGGGGACCTTGGGACAAGGGCTTCTTTGGTAGCCCTGGCCAGGTTCACAGGCTTCCTTTCAGGTTTTGTGCCCACAATTCCCCCACCCGCCTCCTCCCGCCAGCGTTTCTCTATCTCTTAAATACACCTCCCTAATCCTCTCCTTCCTCCTTTTTAAAGCCTGCCTTTCCTTTCAAATACTTCCTCAAATGCCAGCTTGTTATGTTTGTGCCCTCCCCTGTACGATCCTTCCCCAAGAGCTCTGAGAGTGTATTTCAGACCACAG